GACAGAGTGAGACCCTGTGTCAAAAAACAAACACAACTTGTGGGGGCAGAGGGAGGGAGAGGGCAATAACAAAGACTAAGACCTTTCTCCAGTGGCTCCATTAAATACCACAAACCTTGAGGGACTGAAAGACGCTGAAGCCCGAGGTTCGGGGTACGGCGCTCTTCCTGTGACGTCAGTGCCAACGATGTCCAAGATGCTGCTTAGCTCCTCCTGCCTGCATCTGGCACAGGTTTCACCCTCCGCTGCCCGGACTCAGCCTGTGAACAGCTCTGCACCCCCAGCCCCAGCCCGTGCCATCACGGGGCTCCCTCCAAGACGCGCACCTCAGCGTGGCTCCCCCGTGCATCCACGACCTGTCACCTGCCCCCATCCCGTGGCCATTGCTATGCCCTCCCAAGTGTCCCTTCTGCTCAGCCATCCTGGTCCTCCATGGGAGACAGGCACATGGGCTCCCTCGTCTTCCCATCTTATCTGGGGGGAGGGACGCCGCCCGTGAGCAGCCTCCCATGTACACCCTCAACCACGCCATGTATCCCACAGGTTAGTGCCGCCTGTCTCACTGTCTGTCTGCCCCACAAGCTCCCCAGGGCATGGCTGTGACTGCTTCACCTTGGTCTTCCTGGTGTCTGGCACCTGGGGGTGGGCTGGGGCTCAGGTCTGTGTTTGGAGAATGAGCGAATGAACGAATTCTGGCCAAGGCCTTGAAGACTTGGGGCCCAAGGAGCCTAGTGGAGTGGGGTGGCCCAAATGGCTGCCACTCGTCAGGACACCAAAGAGCCCACAACTGTCTCCAGCGGTCGGGTGGGGGCGCAGAGGGAAGGGGCTCCAGAAAGCTGGCGCTGGGGCTGCTCTGCTTCCCTTGGCACGACGGAGTCCTCTGGGCCAGGCTCAGGGCAGGCTCTTTCTGCGGGTGAGTATAAATCTATAAAACAAACAGCACGCTCTTAGCTGCAAAACTAAAAATAGGAAGCCCAGAATCCGGCTCCCCGGGCTCCCCTAGGCGCTGGACCACACAGGTGTGGCTGCGGATGTGGCCCCTCACCCCGCCCCACGCCACAGCCCTCCCGGGGAGGATGAGGGGCATTCTGGGTCTCCGCCAGGAACAGCTCATTCTTGCACTCCGGCCTCCCCCGCCCCTGTCCCTTTTGACAGCTCGTTTCATTTATGACCCCAAAATGAACTGCCCCGCCGAGGTGCCTTCCCCACTTACGTGGCCAAGCTGGGGTGTTGGGTGGGGCCGAGAGCGGCCCCCTGGGCCGGGTGGGGGCCCTGGCTGGCTGTTTACGGGGGTGCAGTCTGGGGCAGGGGAGGGGTCCAGGCTGAGGGGCGAGGCAGGTCCGGGTCTGCATCCAGCCCTGCCCAGCACGCGGCACTGGCCGCACACCGCACTGTCTCCTCAAACCCTCGCAGCTTCCCCCGTGGGCATGTGTCGTCAATGCTGGCTCGTAAAACCCTGCACAGGCGACCATTTCCCAGGCCAGATTGCTGCCGAGGCCCGGCTGCTCCCCGAGGCTGGCAAGGTGGCCCCGTCGCCTTCACCCACCAAGCACAGCCCAGGGGGGCGCTCTGGGAGCCCTGAGGCCAGCACCACCCCTCAGAACGTCGCCAGGCCAGCCGCAGGCCGAGGGGACTCCCAGGGCTTCTGAAAAGGGATTCTGGAGTGTAGGGGCTCCCAGACCCTGGGACCAAACAGCCTCCTCGGCCTGGACTGGCTGCTCCGCGTCCCAAGCTCCTGCGTGTGGGGCTGCAGGTCTACGGAAGTCAACCCTTCCTTCAAGCCAGGTCCCTGTGACCCTACTACATACCTGGCACACAGTAGATGCTCATTCAATGTGAATAAAAACGGAGGCTCAGAGGAGGGCGGCCACATAGCTCAGGGAGGAAAAATCCTTCTTCTACATCAAGACCTTTCCCAGGCCCTTTTGGGGATAGATCTCCTGAGATTAGGAAGTCCTTTCTAATACCTAACCCAAATTCTGGCTGCAACTGAGGTAGCCCCTTCCCGCGCTTCTCCAAAGTTTGGGGGGCTGTCTGCCTGCTGCCCAGCTGTGTCCACCCTGCCGCCACCTGCAGGCCACTGCGGGTACTGCAGTGCTCCCATAGCCTGGGGCTTCAGCTAGCCTGGGGCTTCTCTGGGCCTCGGTTTCCCCCTTGGCAAGCTGGGTGTGCTGGTCCGTGCCTGCTTCGGCGCAGGTGATGGAGATTCGAGTCAGGAGGTCTGACTCTGGAGGTCACAGCACCTCTCCCATGTGCTGTGGCACCAAAGCATAGCTGATGGGGAGGGGCCGTCATTCCCTTCAAAGTGACCCCAAATAAACACAAATAGAAGCAGTGTTGGCCATGTAGACGCTGCCCTGCTTATCCCTGGCAGATGTCGCCCGGAGCAGACCCACAGAGAAATTCTGCAGCTACGGTTGGGTCCTACTAAGAGAGGAACCCGCTGCCCCTGGGGTTGAGGAGGCGCTGGGCTGGGGCCATGGGGACTTTCTGTTGGGTGCTGGGTTTTAGGCAGACCAACCCAACCGAACAGGGAAAAGTTGTGGGCTTAGTTTTTGAAGTAAGTGGCATCACTCGAAATAAGGTTTTACGAACATTGCCCTCCACGAGTCCCAGTTGGCCAAGCGCCGATCTGGTTCTTGGGAACTCTAGTGGGCCGGGCTGCCTTGCGGGCAGGGTGGGGAGGGGGCTGTCAAGCCAGGTCCCCACACCATCACGCCCACGGCCCCCATCATCCGGCTGTGGTCCCGGCTCAGCCACGAGCAACTCGAGGGAGACGTGGAACCCGACGGCACCCCTCTTCGCACTTCAGTCGCCTCATCTGCAAAAGCGGGCCACTGAGGCAGCCGCTTGCTCAGTCCTGAGCGCTGACGACTTGCCAGTTCCCAGAGCGGGGCTCTCACCGAGGTAGCTCCCTCTGCCTCTGTCCCCTCCCCAGATCCGAGTCCGGAACGAGCTGGAGCAGGTGCACAGCTGCTCGTTTCCTTGCGAAGAACTGCAAACCGCCGCGGGCGGAGGGGCAGTGAGCGACACCTTGAAGACCTGTCTGATGTTCTGGGGTCCCGGCCACACAGGCGGAGGCCTCGCTGGCCGTGCTGGCACCGGGGTGGTCGCTGTGGCCATTCCAGATGGAACTGGACACAGGAGGCCAAGGTGCCAGCGTCTCCAAAGAAGCGATTTCGCCCTCTTCCCGCCGCCAGTGGCCGGCGGCCTCCATCCTGTCCCTCCTCCCAGCCCCTACGCACACAGCCCTAGAAGCCTGGCACTGGGATCCTTCAACACATCTCAGAGTTATATTATTGTAACAAATCAGTCAAAATTCCATTTTACAGTTAAATAGTACAGAAGACAGTTAGTTTACTGTACAAGCAAGTTGTGCATTAAAAACAAACACACCAAGCAAATGATAGTGCAAAGCAGTTTCCGCCCCTCCCCACCCTCTTCCCAGCTCTGGGACGGCTTTCTGGAAGGTATGAGTGCAGCAGGTAGTGACTCCTCAGCATGACAAGGGCCACAAAGGGTCTGCACCCACCACCCACAGGCCTACAGTAACCCCTTCCCTTCCTTGCGCTCTCCCCGTCAGTGTGTTTGCCTAGGACAACTTCGAAGCAGCCGTGTAAATAAGGACCCACTTTTACCAGCCCAGGCCGTCTGCACCCACTGCGGGCCTTAAAAACAGACCCCACGTGGCTGCCATCTCTTTCGGTCAAGGGATGGGGAGGGGGGTGGGAGGAGCAGGGGGTCAATTTATTTCCTGTCCCTGCGCCCACCGGGGCTTGGGGCTCAGGAAGGGGGAGTAATCTAGGCTGGGGCCACAAAGTGCTGGGCACTGGGAACCCGAAGGTGCCTCCACGCTGGCCTGGGGCCAGTCTACAACCACAGAGAACAGGAGCGAAGCAGGTACAAGGTCAATGGCTTCATAGCTGCTTCCTGAGAAGGGGAGGGGAGGCCCCTGCGTGTTGGGAGTCAGCAGGACACCGCCAGCAGCTGTTTTGAAGAGATGGAGACTGCTTTTTCCAGTGCGGGCAGGACAAAAGAAACTACAGCAGGAGGGATTTGAAGAAGATCACCAGAAGGACTTCCTAAACCTGCCAAAGTGTGCATCTGGCATGCGGATCTGGCTGTTGTTACAGGTTGGGGGTGGCACGGCAGGGCTCCGACAGAGGCAACCACTAAGGAGCATTTTTTTGTAAGGGAGATTTCCACTTCCATAGAGGATGTGGCAGGAACAATTACCAAAAACCACATGCTGTCTAACCTTACAAGAGTTCTCTTGTCCTTTTCCAATTAAGCCTTTCTAGAACTAAAGAACTCTGACGTGGGAATCGATGCAACCCAAGCCCTTGGGCAAGGCCTGCACTTTCATCCACAAAATTTGGGGGCGATGCTCCCCCTCGGAGCTTGGGGGGCTGACCTGAGGCTGGAGAGCCCATCACAGCTCCTGTCCTGCCACCACCCGCCCTACCGGGACAAATGTCCAAGAGCCACAGGTGAGAGAGTCTAGCGTCTCACCAGCATTTCCCTCGGGCCCCTCCAGGGCCACCTGCCATGGGGCTGGTGGGATGTCGCCTCTGGAGAACGTGACCTCTTGAGGAGGTACCGAGACCCTAACAATCCCACACCCTCAGAAGGCAGCTGGGGGCAGGATGTTCCCAATCACAGGGCTTTACCTGTAAGAGACCTTGTGTTTCAAGATGTTTGACTGAAGCTTTTTTTCCCCTAAAATCAGTTTTAAAAACTGGTTTTGTTCAAGACTGTTAGTTTTGGAGCACAAAAACAAAGAGCTGCGGGTCAGGAGTTGGAAGATTTGCTGGATCTTCCCTGGGGCCTGGGGCACGGCCTGGGACCTCAGTGGGACAGGGACCCTGACGTGGGTCCCAGCGACCCCTCACCTCAATGCCTTCTGTTAGGACCTATCTGGCCACCGTGTTCTCTCCAAAAATGGAAATTATGAGACGAACCTAAGGAAAAGGGAGACCCCCCGGCCCCCACCACGAGCACAGAGGGCGAGTGCCTCGGGCCGGGAAAGTGCATGGAGGGCCGGCCTGCAGGTGCCTTCCCTGGTTTGGGGGACCTGCTGCCGTAGACTAGTCAGCCTACTCTGAGGCCTGGGACCCACGGAGCCGGGACAGAGCCAGCTGTTCAGAAGTGTGGGGAAGCAGGGCCGGGCACTGGCTTGGGTTCGTTCTCCTCCCATCTCTGCCAGCCGGGTCCTGGGTCCTGCCCCATCTGTACAATGAGGGGAACCCGTCTCAGGGTGGGGGGCTTTCCAGTTCTGACTCGACTTGTGTAAATGCAGAGGGAGGGCAGGGTCCACAGGGTGCAGGGGCTCCGAGGAGGGTAGAGGGCCCTGCGGCTTATCCTGGGGGCAAATGCTGCCTGTCTATGGAACAGAGATGGCCCCTGTCCCAGGAGACCTGGCCCCGTGACAGCACTGGGCATAGCCGGAGACAGCGAGGTCGTTCTGGGGAGGTGGCAGGGGGAGGCTAATTTCCCACAGGGGTGCGGACTGAGATGACTGGGATCTGGGCTGGGGGCAGGGTCCCGGGGGAGGTCCCTGCCCCTCTGTACAAAGATGTGGCTGGACAGACGCACGTGGAGCCTCACTCCAGCTCTGGACCTTGGGACCGTGACCGCCCTGGAGCACAGGGCCCACTCCTGCCCAGAGCTTCCAAGCCCGGCCGGTCGCTTGTTGGGAAGGCTGTTGGGGTCCCCGCCTCCAGCGGGAGGAGTCCCGGCGCGGTCAGTAGGGCCGCCACACGGCCTCGTCCATGCGGCCCGGCGTGCTCAAGGCCGTGGGCGAGTTGCTGTGGCTGCCGTCGGCCTCGACGCCGTCGCTCTGGCCTCCCAGGCTGGGGTTCATGAGGTTGCCGGCGGCTACGGACGCGGCGTTGCTGGAGCAGGAGGCCAGCATGCGGGTGGGCGAGCGGTCGCCTCCGCTGCTGCTGCTGCCAGCCACCATGGAGAACTGGTAGGAGCCCGAGGACGCGCCGTAGTAGAGGTGGTAGGGGGACGGGTTGGCCTGGAAGGGCCCGCTCTGGTTCTGCGGGGCCCCGGGGTAGGGCGGCGGGAGGTAGGTGTGGTGGAAGCGGCTGGTGGCCGGCATGCCCGCCACGCTGAGGCTGCTGATGCTTGTGCCCGAGGGTGTGGCGCTGTAGGGGAAGGCCGCGGACATGGCCCCCGGGTAGTGCATCCTGGGGTCAGGGAAGCGGCTCTCCGTGAGGGCCGGCGGCAGTGCTGGGAAGGAGCGGTCAAACTGGCGGGGGTCGGAGAATGGGTTCAGGTCCAAGGCGCCTGCAGGACAGCAAGGAGGAGGGTCAGTGACAGCCTAGACGACCCTGGGGCCTTCCTGAAGGCTGACCCCGGGGCTTGGTTCAGAAGGCCCATTTGGGGATCCCTGGCTCTGCCCTCCCTGCCCTGGGCTGCTCAGGGCCCAGAGCCTGCCATGCCTCCCACCACAGCCCCACTCGCAGCACCCTGGGCCAGAGACTGCCTGGGAGCCTCCCGGCCAGAGCAGAGGAGGAGGCGGCTTTCTTTCTCCTCTTTCAATCCTCCTTCCCAGCCCGGCAGCGGACAGGCCGGAGAAGGCAGGGCTGGGGACAGAGTCCGCAGCTCGGGGGAGGTTCCTCTTCCCCCTACCCACTGTTAACAGCTGGCAAGACCACGGGTGTGAAGACGGTCCCCAACGGCCCTGTGAGACTGGGAGCTGAACCCTGCTTTTGAAGATAAGGAAACTGAGGCAGAGAGAAAGCAAGACTGATTCTCCTTCTGTTGCACAGAAAGAAATGGAACTCGTCGTGAGGCGTCTCTGCTGGGGCCACGTGCGTGTGCAAGTGCGAATGTGTGCGCATACTCCTGCCCAGGTGCAGCTTGGGGAGGGCCCAGGTGCTCACACCTGTGGATGCCCTGGGTGTGGGTGCTGGGTTCATGGCGGCTCTGCCAGCTCCCCTCCTCCTCGCCCTGGGCCTGTGTCTCCAAGGCTGCCTTGCAGCCTGGAGCTGACCGGTGGCCGCACAGTGACCAAGTGCCACTCTCACCTGTCTCGACAGCAAAGGGAGACTGCAGCCAGAGGGGCTGGGGGACTCAGACCCGTGCTGGTCACAGAGACAGTGTCCAGCCAGCCTCTGCCCTGGCTCCTTCAGGAGTTTGGCTTCCCAGCGGGCTCTAAGACAAAGCGTTCCAGCCTCGTCCCCGACTTGCAATCACAGAGCCCCTCACCCCAGCATTCAAAGGGGGTTAGAGGTTGAGCTAAGCCCCTTGATGGGAAAACTGAGGCCCAGACAGGGTGAGGCCCTTGCCCAAGAGTCACAAAGCACACTGGACCTGGAACAAAATCCTAGGTTCTCTGGTCCTGAGCCCCAGCACATGCCTAATAGGTAGCTGTCCCACCTCTGAGGCAGCACAGAATTGAGGTTAACTGAGTGGCTTCTGGGCTAGACAGTTATCCTGGCTTTGACACTTACTAGCTGCGTGCCCTTGGGCAAGTCACTTAACCTCTCTGTGTATTGGCTTCCCCATATTAAAAACAGGGACAATAACAGTTCATAAGGATTTAGTTAACATACATAAAGTCCTTAGAATGGAGCTGGACACAGAGACAGGGCCCAGGGGGGCTCAGTACCGATGCAGCGGCCGCGATGCCTCTGGCTCCGGGAACCCAGGAGAACTGGCTCATTCAGCAGCCTGCAAAGACGAGGCCCTGAGCCTCGGCCTTCCTTGCACCCTGGCAGCAGTGGGGAGGTGGATGAGCCCCCAGCAGTGGTCCAGAGGTGACTGGCCCCAACCCTCTGTCTCACCCTCCAAAGGGTAAGGGCCAGGAGAGGAGCAAGGAGGAAACCATCCTCTGTCCCCTGGCCCAGCAGGGCTGGTGCCAGCTCGAGGTGGGCACTGCTTGCCGTGACAGAGGCTTGGCTGAGGATGGAGAGCTATGAGTGTCCTCAGGCCTCCTGACTCCTTGGCTCTGCCTGAGGTGCTATGTGACTTCGGGTGGGACTCGGGACTTCTCAAGGCTTTGGGGTCTTTCTTCCCAAGTCAGCTGGGGTGTTTCCCTCAGCAGCAGGCTGTGGCCCTGGGCATGGATTAGAACAGAGCGATGCTTCCAGCTCAAGGCAGGGAGATGTGGGGATGGGAGTCCAGGTGGCTGGGGCCTTCTGGAGCATCTGGTGCCCTCCCTAACAGGTCACTTGGATGGCCAGCACTGCCTCGAAGCCCAGGGTGTCAGAGGTGCCTGGCTGCCCGCCCTTGTCTAGGAGCCTCAGCGGGGAAGGCCCAGCGGCACCCCAAGCGAGCACAGCTGAGGACAAGGCTGACGACCCTACGCTGAACAGAGTGGCAGTGGGTGCTGCTCACACGACAAGAACCCCATTCTCAAGACAAAGGAAGCCCAAACAGGGACCCCGGGATGCAATAGCAGGACAGTGGCCCAGGGAACACAGACCCTATAGCCATGGGCCTGGGCCCAGCGTGTGTGTCCCTCAGGGCCCTCATGGGCTGCGGGGCTCCAGGCTGGGCCTGCCTGGACCTGTCACCATCCCTTCCTTGAGGCCACAAGTCCTCCTCCAGGGTGGTGGGGGAAGTACCTGCCCTCAGCACTCCCCGAGACGCCCCAGCCGCTTCCTCCAGGCTCCTGCACCCCCACCATGCAGCCTCGCAGCCCCGGGAAACCCGAGCTGGCCGGGCCACTGTCGGGCAGCCAATCCCAACAGTGGAAGGAAATGTTTATTTTCTTCTCCAAATTGCCCCAGCTGCTGTGTGGTGGCTGAATGAGCCCTTTGAGCAGTGAGAAGCCCCCATTGTGGGCAGCTGCAGCGGGGGCCGGGCAGGGGTATGGGAGGAGCTGGGGTCTCCGCATTGCTTGCTGGTGACCAAGGCTGGGGGTCAAGCTGTTAACAAGCACCCAGGGCAGTGGTGGCGGGGTGTTCTGAAGGCAGAGGGAGGGAGGGCCCATGAGATTGACGCCCCAAGCCTGGGCCTGCCGATACCCCTCCGTGGCAGGGGTCTCCTTCTCCCCACTTTACAGATGGGAAAACTGAGGCTCAGAGTTTGAGCAACTTGCCTAAGATCACACCATCAACGCCTGGCAGAGCCTGAATTCCCAGCCAAGTCCATCTGACTGCAGAGTTCACGCTCCTTCCCTACTCTGGTTATTGAGGGCCCTTCCTCCCACCCCACAGGGGACAGGCCTGGGGAGGGGAGGCCTGCCGGAGCAGAGGGCCACACAGGATGCAGGAAGAGAAGTGGGCACGCACGCCACAGCCCTGAACAGGCCAACCTCCTCTCCTCCAGCCCCAGAGTGGAGGCGGGGCAGGCAGGTGCTATATCCATCCAGGCATCGGGGACAGAGATCCAGTCTCCGTCCTCACGACTCACCTCAGCTCCTCCCTGTTTGGGAGGAGACTCCGGGCAGGGTGGGAGACCTTTCCCAGGCAATGCCGTGTACCTCTCCAGGGCGGGAACATCACTTTACAGTTTATAAGGTGTGTCTGAGTGCAGTAATGTTACTCCAGCCCCAGGCAGAGGTATCCACTACCACCCCACTTCCAGACGAGAACGCCGAGGTGGGGGGAGGGCAGGGGGCGCAGTGCATAGAGCAGGGCGCGCCTGTCACAGCTCCTTGGACAAGTCATGCCCTGACTTTAACAGGGGAACTATGGGAGTAACCCCACTGCCCTGGGGGACCGTGTGCTCCTGGGGGGCAGGGCTGTCTGTTCACGCTGATCCCTGGGGCCAGGCAGCGCGCACAGGGCAGTGAGCGAATGAACTGGGGCCGGCATGGAGCAGGCCCTCAGGAAACGCCCATTGGAGCCAATGAGCACCGGCTGCCTCCTCTGGAAAACAAGGGGTGCAGTGCTTGACCTCCGGATGGGCTTTTGGTTTGGGGCAGATGGACCCCGTCCAGGTCCCCCTTCCAGCTCTGTGCCCACCCACCCGCCGCCCTGCAGCCCCTGCTGCGCCGTACCTTGGATTGGGGTCTGGGCCTGGCTGAAGTGGCTCGTGGTGCTGAGAGAGCCGCGGGGGCTGGGCGTGCTCGGTGTCACTCGCATGCGGACCCGCTCCAGGTCCCCGAAGCGGTCGGGGAACGCCTTGGTCTGGTCCTCCAGCTTCTGCCGGTGCCCTGCAGAGCACGGGGAGCTCATCAGCCGCTGGTTCCCAGGGTCTTAGGGGAGACAGAAATGCCTCACTCTGCTGGGAAGTTCTTCCTGAGATCTAACCTTAGGCCTCAGCAGGGAGATCCCTGAGGTCACCACCAGCCTCTTTTCTGAGGTTCTCAAAAGACTTTCTGAACAAAGCAAGGCCATATGTGCCACCCAGGGCTGCCATGGTCGCGCCCATCTGCATGAGCAGGAACAATCATTCTTACGCGGGAGGGGCTCGGAGGGGGCTCCAGGTCACAAAGCCAGTAAGTAGTGGAGTCAAGATTCAAACTGAGGGTTCAAATCAAAGCCTGTGACCTAAACCTTTACAACACACTGTTCAGCAGAAGAGGAAACTGAGGCATGGGAGACTGGCGCAAGCATGCTCCCGAGGGAGGCAGGGAGAGAATCTGGGAGTTGCATCTGCAAGAACAAGCAGAGGAGGCCCCAGGGCGGACCTGCCGAGGCTCCAGGCCTGAGCCACCCGGTGATCCCAGGACACGCCTTCCCCACTCTGAGCCACAGGCAGAGGGAAACCCACCAGGATGCGGGCGGGGGCGCAGGGCACTTGAGTGAAGGGCTAGACCAGTGCACCCGGCGTGGGTGTCACACGGGAGAAAACTGCCCGCATTTCCCACTACCCCTCCGCCACAGCCGCACAGGAAGAGCCCCAGCCTCGCCTCTCAGGCCCCGGAGGTGCCAGCCGGGTCAAGGTGGCCAGGCCCTGCCCTCCTGCAGCCTGCTGAGGCCAAGGGGACGCTTCTTGAGTGACATCAAACGTGCAGGGCCCTCTCCTGCCACACAAGCACACATGCTTTTTCAATTACTCATTTTACATTTCACAAGCAACACATGAATATTTACGAAACTGAAAGTGTTATAGATAAGGCTCTTTTGACCCACCTAAGCCCCTCTCCAGAAGTCCCCACCATGACCAGCTTGCAAGCTTTTCTTCCCAGCCTTTTTTTGGCTTTCCATACAAGGAAAGCACAGAGCAAGTTTCTCATGGAACTTTCTTGAATGGTCTCAGCCTGGGAGTATCATTCTATAACTTGCTCTTTTTGTAGCACTCCTTGGAGCTCAGCCTCAGTTTCCCTATCTGTATAATGGGGACAGTATCCCAGCCTCCTGGAAATGACAGAGTTCCCGTAAAGCCCTGGGGACGCTCCTGGCAGTGAGGGCTCCACAAGCGTGACAAGGACTACACTGCTGAGCCATTGGATGGCACATCTTGCTTGTCACGTCCACTGGAGGCGCAGTTCACTCCACTGTTCCTTTCTACGGACACTCAGGTCGTTTCCAAATTTCCTCTTCTGTGCCCTTACGTGCAATACTCCCCGAACGTCCCTGGTCATGCCTCCTTGCGTTCAGGTTTCTCCAGGGCTGCTCGTTCCCGGGCTCTCCCGATCAGCCTAAGACTGTCCGAGCCGCTGGCTGCTCTGCCTCACACGACCCCGAGGGAGGCTGCCAGGCGGGCAGGGGCCGGCTCCTCTCTCACACGTGGAGAACTACGGCTGCACCCCAGAGGGGCGGGAAGGCTTGCCCATGGTCACCCAGCGAGGCGGGCAGTGAGGATTTCCTGGACCTGGGCTGCTTTAGGAAAGAAATGCAGGGAAGGGGCTAAGGGGGAGGAGAAGGTCTGCCTGAGTCCTTTGGTTTGCAGTGACAGGTGGAATTTTCTAGACTGATGAAGACGGAAGACATCCTCACTGTCCTTTCTGGGGCCTGGACAAGTGATTCCCGGGGCAACGTTAAAGTAGGAAATGTCGGTTGACCTCTGCTGGGAATGAGGGCCCAGCACCAAGGGCCTCGGAATGGACCTGATTTCTGATTTTGAAAATGGGAACGCAACGGATTCTGGTACTCGTAGACCCCTAAGCTCCCAACACATCCCTGCCACAAGCTCCAATGAGCATCTGAGGGCCTGAGAAATGAAGCCGGGAGTCCTGGGGGCTACGGTGGGCTCAGCAGGTCATCCAGAACCAAGGAGCCCCACCTCCTCCTCCAGTGAAGCCCCAGGCCAAGAACCTATGGACACTTGGCGGTAGGAATGAGACTGTCCGGCCTCTGGCCAGGCCCCCACTGCTGCTTCCCAGGACCCTTGGCAACAAAGGGGAAATGCTGGCTGGGGCTGCAAACTCGGATACCTATGGGGGGTGGGCAGGTTACATAGATGAGGCAGTGGGATAGGTGGGGACTGGGGCAGACTGGAGAGGTGGCCTTATAGAAGGGCCCCCACCTGGTGCCCTGATGGGGGTGGGCCCAGTGTGGCAGAGCTTCCAGGTCCAGGATCAGTCCTCACAGGCCTTGGAGGAAATATTGTTGCCCACGCTGCTAAGGCCACTGGAAATGGCAGGGACATGTGGATGAGCTGGGGGTCTCGTGAATTCAGAGCAATCTCAACAGGCAGGAAGCCTACCGGATGGACGTGGAGACCACAGACTGACCTGGCAGCAGCTTCGGTGCAAAGGATCTGGGTGTCTTAGTCAACCACAAGCTTGAAGTGAGCCAATGGGGCTACACAAAAGCTGGTGCAAAACCTCAGACCTTGTTATTTTTGTCACTGGTGAATAAAGTCCCCCGTTTCTGAGTCACACCATGTACTAAGAGTGTTTACAGTTACTCCTGCGGAAGGAGGGCGGAGTTCACAGCCAGCCTGGGTTCGAGGATGGGCCCTGCCACTTGCAGCCTGTTGGCCTTGCTCAAGTCACACTCCCTTCCCAACACCCACGCTGCAGTGTCCCCGTCCCGCTGCCTTCGTGGTCGAGGTGCTGGGCTAGTAAGGTCTGTGGACGCTCTCCACCCGCATGGGTCATTGCCATCATAACCGTCACTTCTATCCCTGCTTGTGGCCAAGGGAGGTAGGAGTACCAGCCCACGTTAGAGACCAAGGCACTGAGGCCAGGGTGGTGACGTCATGTCTGGACCACAGAGCCTGGATGGCAGGGCCAGCATTTGCACGCAGATCCCTTTACTCCAAGTCCAGCGCTCTTTTCCTGACACTTTCCTTTTCGCTCCCATTGTTCAGATGTGGCCACTGAGGCTTCAAGGTCCAGCACCCAGGCTTGGATCAGGTAGTCCAGCCACAGAGCACATGTGCCCACACGTGCTGTGTTGCCTCCCCGCAGGGCAGGCTTCCTGGAGGCGGGGAGTTCAGCAACAGCTCAGGAATTGCTTCCTTGCTGCTGTGGAACGTTGGAGCCACTGCCAGGGAGGGGCAGGGGGAGCCCATGTGGCCAGGGAGCCGGGGAGTCTCAGAGCCACGGGGCCGGGGCCTTCATGCTGGGAGCAGGACGGAAGTGCCTTTGCCCGAGGAAAGAAGAGGGGCCTCAGAAAAGGCCTCTTCCATTTGGCTGCCAGAGGGAGGGCTTGGTGGGGAGGGCTCTGGCCCTGATGTACTTGTTCATCTGGAGCCAGGCCCTGGTGTGCTGTGTGCCTCAGTTTCCCCTTTGCACAGCCTGCTCACTGAGGTCTCCTCCCTCTCAAAGTCCCTGACTTAAGATTAAAAGGATCAACTGCTGGTCAGGTGGCCCTGAAAGGAAAGGAGGCAGGGCCTCTTGCCCCAGGGCCCACCCACTACCACTTCTTCCTGCCGAATATTCTCTACTCCCCACACTTCAGAGCCTCGGCTCGGGACAGCCTCTGCTAGAAATCCTCTCCTGTCCTTTGGGGCCCAACCCAAGAGCCCCTCCTCTAGGAAGCCTCTTTCTCCGGCCATGGAGCGTCCGGGCACCTCCGCAGGCTGCCCTGAAAGCAGTGGCTGGCAGGAGCAGGAATCGCGAAAACAGCGGCGGACGCTCCCCGCGCCGCTTCTTGCATCGCAGTGTCTACACGGCTGACATGCACTGCCTTGTTTCACGCTGCAACATTCCCCATGAGGCAGGTCTATTCCTGTCCCCATTGCATAGGTGACAAAAGTGAGACTCAAGGACACACAGAAGGCACCTGGCCACCTGCTCTCCCTGGAGCCCATCTCTCAGGGAAGGACTGGGTTTTGACAATTAGGGGCTCCGCAACAGGTGTGAGGGCCCAGCTCAGGCCCAGGCACAGAGGTGCTCTCTGCAGGCCCAGGAAGATGGGCCTCGGGAGAAGAAGATGAGAGGGTCTCAGTGGACTCCACCAGGGGTCCTGCCTTGCTCTGAAGCTCAGGGTTGAGAGTTCAAGTCTCCAGTCATATCCTGCTCTAACCCACCACATCCCTCTGCTCCGCTGGGCCTCAGTTTCCATATGTGTAAAATGGTTATCACAGTGTCTAACCCCAGGAGTGCCGATAAGCTGGAGGGAGACCACGTTTTTAAAAGGGGAGGGTGGAGAACCCCTGGGGAGGGCCCCGCTTTGGCCCGTGGGGCCTGGCTTGGGCTGCTGTCAGTCTCAGCAGCTGGGCTCACATCGGCTCCAGCATGGACTTGATTAGTGTCCATGGCCCTCAGTTACGCAAATGTAGATCCCAGCCCGCCCCTTCCAAGGGCCCAGTGGCCCCAGGCCCGTACCAGGCGGCTCTCACCCACCAGTGGTCTTGGCCAGCCACACTCTCCCTCTGGGCCTCGGCTGCCTCACCTGTAAAACGAGGACCACTCACTCTAACTGCCAAGGGTGACGACAGGTTTCGAGAATTGAACAGCCCACCAGGGCCTTGGCCTTCAAGGAAGGCGTTCTGGATTCCAGTCCTGACTTGGCATCTACTCCTGGCAAACGACTCTCCTGCAATGCATCGATACAGTGGGGGTGACCAACCTCATAGGCAGCCATAAGGGCCAAAGTGGGGGGCAGGAAGCCAGGGCCCGGCCAGGCTGGTGACTCACCCAGGGTCACACCGTGTAGGAGCTAGAGGACCAGGGCTGGGTTCCGGGTGGGGGGCTCCTTCACCGTCACCCCCAGGGCATCCCTCATCACCACCCCAGGCACCTGCTGCTTCTGAGGGAACAAGAGGCCATCAGGGCCAAGCCCCCGTCTCCACGCTGGCCCAACATACGCCCCAGGA